TAAGTTCTGATGGGAGCAGAACAAAGTCTCATCCAGGCTCTTATCGCTATCGTTGAGGCCCCGCTTGAGCGGTTGGGAATTGCAAAGTCTATGATGCTTTATCAATGCAGTGGCCAATATCTAGGAAAATATTCTCAGGAAGAGGAGAAAACTGGGTGAGGCAAGACCAGGGGGCAAGGTCCATGGGTCTAGTTGGCAAAACTTTCACTCCAGCTAGAGCTGCAGTTCCAAAGAAACAAATGAATTCTGGAACAAGATGTTGCAGCATCATGTGTTCTGGTTCACTGTGCCAGCCAGCCAGCCAGGCTTTCTTCTGTGCTGCTCCATTCCATTCCTTCTCCCAACAGTCAGGCTGCAGCTCCCACCTCCCACCTTTGTGTTCCTTTTTCTTATAGATGTTTCTGCTCCTTCTGTCAAACTTGGCCTTATTGGTAGCTCCCTCTTGGGTGTGGGTGGCGCATTGAAGCTTCTCAAGCAGTGGCACTCATAAAAGGGGTGACACAGAGTCCTCTGATAGGCAGGAAGGACATTAGCCTCCAGTTGATGAACATGCTAGACGTAGATCACAAGGACTGAGCTTAAATGCCTTAGGTGTAGCTTTTCTTCTTTGCTTGGACATGGAGATCTACAGTAGAGGACTCCTCTCTGTCCTTCAAGGCTTCATTTTTGGCCTGTTGAATCACCGCCCTCCTTTCTTCCATGCTGTAAGGGCTGAAACAGACAAGGCCTTGCTGGTAAGTCTCACAATGACTTCTTTACATTTCTACTCTAGAGATAGTGCAGAAAGCCCTAGCTTTCTGTATCAGTATCCTCTAAAAAGAACATCCAAAACATTCAGGATGCATAGAAATGGATCTTATGGGAGTTTCCTAAGGCTGGGTTTCAAAGTTCACCTTGAAGCAGGCAGGTTTGTCTGAAAAGCAAAGTTATGCTTTATGGGGCAAGTTCTCAGTTCATGCAGGGCAATGGTGCCCACATATTTTGTATTATTTATTTACTTTTTACTCTTCCTCACCCCTGAGGCATTTCTCCTCTTTATCCATTATCACAACAACCCTGTGAGGTAAATTAGGCTGAAAGATTACATCTGGACCCAGGTCACAGAGTGAGCTTCATGGTTGGATGGAAATTTGAATTATACAAAAGAGATACACACCGAGAAATAAAGAATTCTGAGCCCAGGAACCATGTACCAAAACTGAATAGCTCAACATGAATCCATGCACAGCTCTGCTCCTGAAACCGCCCAAGGCCTTTACATTTCAGCAGTATAATTGAGGGAGGGGAGGAAATCATTCTGTTGCTGCTGCCGCTGTTAAAAAGGGGGCAGGGAGTCAGAAATCCCTGTTGAACTTGTACATCCAGAAATGTATTTGTAGACTTAGATCTCTCTCTCACCCTCCCCTGCACTATCCATGGTGATTCTAGTGATGGGGCCCTTAATCTATAGGGGTTTCACAGCAGATATGGGATCCGTACTGAGACCTTGGAGCAGGTTCCTTGAAGGCAGAAACATGGGGAAACCTAGAGGCCTTTAAGTGCCAGCTGTCCTCGTAGAATGAAACTCCCTGTCTACATTTTCTCACTGATGTTACTTGCAGTTAATCTTTCATGGTGCAGTGAAGCAGAGTATGGGAATTAATTGGCTTTTGTAAAAGGAGGTCATTAAGCTGGAGTACCTGGGAGAACCTAATTTTGTTCCTTTATCACAGGCATCTGTCTGGGATGGGGGAGGTGCTCTCAGAGGTGGGGCAGGTTCATTCATACCAAAAGCTGCTTTAAGGAAAAAATATACATAATTTTAAAACCCACTAGATGCTTAGTTCTGTACTCCAGAGGGTTGCAGTCTCCACAGCTTCTGCCTGAGTTATTTTTGTACAACTCATCAGGATACTCTGGAAGAAAAATAGACTCGGCATTTAATGTTTTATCTCTTTTGGGAATTTCTTTTTTTGGGTGGTGGTGGTGGTGGAAATAAGTTGCGTCTTACTTGCACGTCTGTTTAATTTGGCAAAGGAGGAGACCTTATTTTCAAAAACTGTGATGCCTAAAGAATGAATGAGGGTTTCTTTTTCTTTTCTTTGTAAAATACTTCTCTCTTACTGTAAACCACAGTGGTGTCTGTCTGGGTTTTAAAATAACTAGCAAGGGTAAGGGAAGCTGAGAGGGCAGAGAACCACGGCCTGGTCTTTCCCCAGCCCAGAATGGCCTGGTTGGTATGACAGGGCCGGGGTCAGAGGCCAGGTTTGCTTGGCATGGTGACCCTCACGCGGGGCTCCATGTCCAAAGTGTTGCCTGGCGTACTCTGGGGCTTGTCGTGGGCAAAAAACCTGCACGCACAGGGAGAGCCCACTCTTTCCTCACATTGGAGGAGCGAGTCCACATTCTGACCTTGCAGGGTATTAAAAAACGGGTCTTAATCAAGTAGAGCAGCCCAGTTCAACTTCCAGGCCTATTTAAGAGCAGCAAAAGCTGCAAAGAACTTGAGGATTTGACCAAAAAAGCCTCAGATGAGCTAGATTTACCTAGACTCGTCCTCAGGCCTCAAAGCCCTCTTAAAATGCAGGAAGAAATGGTCTTGTAGCATCAGCCCCTATGAGTGGCAGACAGGATGACTTTGCTGGATTGGCTAATTCGTTGTTATATACCATCAAGTCATCTCCAATTTATGGCGACTGTATGAAGAAATGCCTTGCTCAGCTCTTGAAAAGTCAAGGCTGTGGCTTCCTTTATGGAGTCTATCCATCTCACACTTGGTCTTTCTGTTGTTTTTGCCTTCGACGTTCCTTTTCCAGTGGCTAATCCTAGTACAGGCAGTTCCCAGGTTATGAATGGGTTACATACCTGAGAAAATAGAAAATCTTCTTTTAAGTTGAATTTGTAAGCCAGATTGTGTATAGTTGGCCCTCCACATTCGCAGAAGCGTGGGGTGCAGGATCCCTGTGGAAGTGGAAAGACTGTGAATATCTCTACTCCCACTGGCAAAACTAACCAGGGCTGCCTCTTTGCTGCAAGGAAATGCCAGGGCGATTTCCCTCTCTGGAGGGGCAGGGCAGGAAGGCACCCTTGGCGACCTCCCTCTCCCTGTGCTGATGCTTTGGAGGCCTCCTTCTCTCCTCTTTCATTTCCCCTCTCAATGTGGTAATAACAATTTTCTGCAGTGGTTGTTTTTTTTAATTAACAGTCAGTTCGTAAGTACAGGTTGTTCATAACTGGCAGGCCGCCTGCGTACCTGTGATGAGCCTTTTGGTGTTACCTGCTCAACAGAGCAAGGCCTTTTGCTTCTTTGACTTAAGGCTACAGCTGCCTTCCCTTCACTGAAGTGTTTACCACCATGCAGGAAAGGAAGGGAAGGTGACAGATATAAAAACGGACTCTCCAATTATGTGCATCTCCTGCTGTCAGAAGTACACTTTTAGGTGGAAATTATAGGTGGAAATGTGAGAAAAGAATGGCTTAGACTTGCTGAAAGCCCAGCTAAAGAAGCCTGACATGTAGGAGGATGATGGTAGTCCCTTGGGTGTCTCTGGTTTTGGGTTTGACTTGAAAGAGCTTACAATAGAATCTATGCATTTCCCAGGCGACGGCTGTCTGTGGTCCTGTCCGGTTTCGTGTGGTTCTGCCTAGGACATTGTTCAAGGCTTCTAGGCAGATTCTCACCTTGCCCTGTCCCTACAATTTGGGACAGTTAAAATTATAGAATCTTGCATTAAAAATAAACCTAGTGGAGTCAAGCAAAACAGGAATGTACGCTTGAAACCACCCAGAATCATCTAGGGAATAAGTGTATGCAAAGCTGGACTATGTTTGGGATTTCTGGGAATGATGCATAAGAAGGCAGTTCTTAACCATTCTCAGTGCTTTCTCTTCTGTAACATTTAACCCTCCAATTTTAATTGCATGTATTAAATAAAAATGCTGAAGTGTCAGAGAGGTAATAGCTTAATCTGGTGGATATCAATATGTAGAGAATTTCAACACTGGAAAAAACAGGCATTTCTGAATATAAATTTGTGTTTGGAAATGAAAACAGGCCATGGCCACAGGTTTCCTTCTGTATTGATCATAATTTCTGTTTCTCATAATTTTGGTCTTTTCTCTCCACCGTCCATCCCGTGCAAAAATATAAAAGAATTACTGCTGGATCACCCAGGGGCCCACGTAGCTTAGAATCCTGTTTCCAATAGAGATCTGCTCAACCAGGGGTGGCCAGGCTTGCTCAATGGAAGAGCCAAATATGGTAAGATGTTTGAAAGCTGCAAGTGGGTACCCACAGGGGGAGGCAAGCAGCAAGCCACAAAATAAACTCAAAGAATTGCATGTGGCTCTCAAGCCTCGGGTTGGCCACCCCTTGTTATATGTTTCTGGGAAGCCCATAAGCAAGTATCCAGATTTTCCTGCTTATTGTCTAAGTTATCTCCTAGGAAGTGTTGTTCAGAAGTATACTGCCTTCTTGATAAAAGATTGGATGGTATCTAGTATGACACCATTAAAAAAAGGATTTAGGGAGCATTCAAGAAATTAAGGATCCAGCTAATGTTATTCTGCATAAATTGATGGAAGGCATATTTAGAATTATTGAACATAGGAAAGAACAAGCCCAATGTCCTACCTCATCAGTCTTCAAGAATTCTTTGAAGAGTGTTAACAAGCATGCAGATATTCCTAGGTGTCAGAAGCTGGAATTTCCATAAACCTTTCAACAAAAGTCCTGTTGCCAAAGGATTTAGGCTACTCCTGAGCCAAGATTAAGGTAGGCACATGGTATTCTCCAGATGTTTTGGACTACAGCTCCCAGTAGTGCAAAACAAGTTGTCTACTGGTTAAGAAATGTAGGGACTATGTTGCAAAATGTGGGGAGTATTGAGTTGTGTGTTACATGGCCAAGAGGACAGAATCCCTTGTCCACCTGTAATGGGTCAGAGAAAATGAAGAAGTTGTGTTCACTGATAAACAGATACAGGGTTTTTCCTAACTGGTTTTGGTCCTTTGTTTTACAGAACATGGTCCAGCACAATCCCTGGCAAGGTTGAGTTCTTCTCTAGCGAGGGTTCGGATACCTCTCTTCCAATCCCTGTAGTGGCACTACCTGGTGTAGATGACTCTTACCCACCTCAGAAGAAATCTTTCATGATGCTTAAGTACATGCACGACCACTACTTGGACAAGTATGAGTGGTTCATGCGAGCTGATGATGATGTTTACGTCAAAGGAGACAAGCTAGAGAACTTTCTTCGGAGTTTGAATAGCAGCGAGCCCCTCTTCCTTGGGCAGACGGGGCTGGGTACCACTGAAGAGATGGGGAAATTGGCCCTGGAACCCGGAGAGAATTTCTGCATGGGAGGTCCAGGTGTGATAATGAGCCGAGAAGTGCTGCGGCGGATGGTCCCTCACATTGGGGAGTGTCTTCGAGAGATGTATACTACCCATGAGGATGTGGAAATTGGGAGATGCGTACGAAGATTCGCAGGAGTGCAGTGTGTCTGGTCTTATGAGGTATGTTGGATATGGGGAAGCCTTTAAATATTGAATACTTTTATTAAAAAGTTAATGAAGGACTGATGAAGTGACATACTTGTCTGGAAATCTGTGTGTCTTGTTTTCCTTTTTCTGGCCCAAAGCATGTTAGCTGAAAAAGAATAGTTCTTAAAGTCAGAATAACCATGGAATTCTTCCAGGAAATCTGCTTTTGGATTTCACAATTTCAATTTTCAGAAATTTTGGTTAAATTTGAATCTAGGCAAATATTCTTCTCTCCACTAGCAGGGGAAAGCAAGTTTTGGCATTCTTCCCCCATTGCTACTTTCTGGTTTCTGTTCATGTTCAGCACAGTTTAGGAAGGGGCTGTAGGTTGTCTTAAGGTCTTTATCATGGAAGCAGCACTTAGAGAATAAGTAAAGAAGGTGGCTGCCATTTACTTGATTCTCTTCTCTTTTCGGGGGTTTCGCTGATGGCAACAACCCCATGCCCCATCCCAGCATGTGTTTATGAGCAAGCTTACATTTAAGATGCTAAGAGTGATGCAGATGAATCCTGACTTGTGGAAGGTGCTGGAGAGGAATCCAGTAGCCACTGGCTTTGATATTTTAAGTGGGGAGCAGCTTTGTCAGTCTCTCATGCAACGTTTGTCAACCTTGGATGCAATTTAAGACCTTGCAGCATGCCAAAGCCAGTGATTATGCAAATAGCTGAATTATCGTTGGGGCACCTGGCAGCACCGTTACAGATCACACCATTTCCGTTTTCCTCACCTCATCCCCTTTTTCTTGAACATTCAGTCTCAGGCAGTTCAGAAGTTAGGTCATTGTTTTGTAATTTTTAGTTGGTATAAGGTTGGTTTCTGAAACATCGGGTGGTCAAGAACCCTTCCTCTTCCTTCTTTTCTCCTTCCAGCTCCTCACTAAACCAAATTATTCTGTGCTTCAACTTTATGAGAACCATGCTGGAAGGAAGAGGATAGGGCTTAACATTCCCTTATACAAAGGAAGGGATTTTGATTTGAATGTTAGACCCATTCTCAGACCCATTTAGACTTGACTGGGCACCGTCATACAACTATCTGCCCTTTGTACCTATAAAGCTGGGACTGGGCAGGGAACAGCCAAAGAAGCAGAGGAATGCCCCCCCCCCCCATGCAGCTTCTCTCTCATTGTTCCAAGAGCTGAGCATGGGGAAGAGTGCTTGAAGCAGCAGGCGGAATAGAAGTAAAGTTTGTTTGTTTGTTTAAGGCATAATCTTATGTATCGTTAGTTGTGAAGTTGCGTCCGACCCATCGCGACCCCATGGACAACACTCCTCCAGGCCTTCCTGCCCTCCACCATCCCCCGGAGTCCACTCAAGCTCACACCAACTGCTCTATTCAGCCTCCTCATTCTCTGCTGTCCCCTTTTTCTCTTGCTGTCAATTGTTCCCAGCATCAGGCTCTTCTCCAGGGCGTCCTTCCTTCTCTTTAGGTGGCCAAAGTATTTGAGCTTTATCTTCAGTGTCTGGCCTTCTAAAGAACAGTCAGGGTTGATCTCTTCTAGGACTGACTGGTTTGATCTCCTCGCAGTCCAAGGGACTTGTAGGAGTCTCCTCCAGCACCACAATTCAGATCTTATGCATGTTGAGCCAGAAAAGTCTTGCAGCTCCCACATTCTTCACGGTGTAGTGAGGTGACCCAGTATGGCTGACTGAGGAATGCTGGGAATTGAAGGACTTGTTTCTCTCAAAAAATACACAGCATTGCACCCTTAGAGTGTTTTATCCTGCTCTTCAGCTAAGAAGGCTCCTGGGGTGTCTTATATCCCATCAATAAGATATGGCAGTCTTTTCCCACAGACTTTTCATTTAAAAAGGCATGACACACACGTAACCAGGGATGGAAAGGGAACAGGTGAAGGATTTTCTGCAGGGCTGGTGCCCTGTCCCACCTCCCTTTGTACAGCCTCGTGGTTCTTCTGGTTGAGGGAGCCTGACCAAGGGGATGCTTTGGGGTTTTGTTTCTTTTTAAAGTACTTCCCCACACACACATCCACTGTACGCACATAAGAAAATGCATATGTGTCTCCCTCTGTTGTGTCTGCTTTGACTGTAAAGTAGGCTGATAACCAGCAGCCGAACGAGAATTTACTGAAAGGAATCTGCACCCCCACGAAGACAGATGGCAGCTCAGCAGCGCTGCAGAGATGTAATCATGACTCAAGCCCATCGAATGACCTTCATGGGATAATAGAAAAGGAGAAGGGGAACACTTGAGCAATTTCTGTGCAGGGTAGATGCCAGGGAGAAGGGGAAGCCAGCTTCCGTGAGAAGATGTGCTGGTAAGCTGGTTACGTAGGCAAGTAACCTTTCGTAATGGACTCAGCTCTTGGCCGTGGTGAGCCAGGCAATGGTGGGTGAATTTGTGATGGTGATCCTGGCAGGAAAAGAAAAGGGTCTTAACCCAGTCTGACCAGCTGGCTGGAAAATCCATTTGTTGCTGAATTCTGAACTTCTGTGGGTGTGGCCAAAGGCTTCCGTAATCCAGAAGCTAAAAAAACTGAGCTTCCCAAATGCACAAAACCAGACAGACAGATATCTAGCACCTCAAGCTCCCCTATGGGTTATAGGAAATAAATCTTCTCTGGTCTTTCTGAAAATTATTCCTATATATGTTAATCTAAAAATACCCCTGAAATATTGAGCACGTGTTTTTCTTGAATTAGGCACTTTTCTCTTTAAAGAGACCCAAGGTGCCTTAAAACAAAACCATTACAAGCAAGCATTGCTTGCCATAAATGTGTACTTGTGAAAATAACACTTTAAAAAAAAAGTTTTGAAATGGGAAATGGAACAAATGGACTGGCAGAGAAGCTGCTCAAAATAAACCTTGCTGTGGTTTATGAAGGTGAAGGTAGTGGCCAAGTGTCTTCCTCTGCAGGGACAATTCTCAGCCTTGCGTGTGCTGTTTTTAAAAGCTCCTCTGCTTCTCCCCACCAAAGTGGAACCTTATGACTGTGATGGAAACTCTTTTGCATACGGTCTGCTGGCAGATAGCATCAAGGCTGCCAAACACAAGTCTGTCCACCTCTCTGCAGCCGTCTAGAATCATCCATTCTCAGGGCCTGGCCTTTGGACATGAACTTCCACTGGCCCCAGCCAACAGAGGCAGCTGAATTGAAGATTGTCAGAGAGGTGTGGTCTGCTTGGTGATGAGTCACCATAACAGTGGGCTAGGGTCTGCTCTAAGTGGGGAAGAGCGCCTAGGCTCCATTTTTCAGCTTTCCTCAACCACCAGATGCTTTGGCCCACCATTTCCAACATCTGTGGCCACTGCCGCTGTTGGCTGGGGCCTGTGGAAGTTCATGTCCAAAGCTAGATGGAGGAAGGCTGCTGTCTTCCCTCTGTTCTGCCCATGGGAACCTAGGTTAGATGGGATCCTTGCCTGGGCAGTTCCTTCCTGGAGTTTCCTGGATCTCACCCTGCAGCTTCATAGCTTCATCCTGCATTATGGGTAGCTGGTATCCCTCTTGCTCACATTTTGTACTATAATTTACACATAAGTAGTAGCCAACTTGTCCTCCTGTCACAAAGTGCCTAGTCTAAAACATTCCCAATTTTTAGTCTTTCTGCCTTAACTCCCCCAACCCAAAACATGCCTGGGGCACAAAAGTACCCCAGTTTCACAATAGGGATGGTTTCATGTAGTACTTTTATACTCCAAACAATAGGCTCCCAAAAAGGAGCAAAAGAATACAGAACAATACAGATCATCCTGGTCTCTTTTTAAAGCTAATATTCTTAGCTGATAACTCCAACAAACAATTGAAATTCACTGAAGGAAAGCTTTGCTATGATTTTTTAAAGTTAGTAGGCCAAGCCATTGTTATGTAGAGGAAAGGTCAATGGGGCAAGCGCTATTGTGGAGATTCTCTTGTTTTGCATTGCCTCAGGAAGGATTAAAGCTTAAATTACCAGTAACTGCTAATAGCTGAGAGCCATTCTTAGGTTGGTTGAAGATTCCTGGGGGAACATTTCAGCCAAAACACAGGCTTTCCATATGCAGCATCTTTCTTGCCAGAGGCATTTTCACCCAGGTGTGATTAATGCTAGTGTTGTTGAGGCAGGAAGGGGGTTCCAGCACAAATAACAGAGGTAGTTCTATTTAAGGTTTGAGAAGAAACCATAGCTCAGTTGTAGAGCACCTGAAGAACATCTCCAGGTAGGGAAAGCAAAACCCTTGCCTTGAGTGCTTCTGCCAGCCAGTGTCAACTATATAAGGAAAGGTGGGCCAGTGGTCTGACTCGGGGTAAGGCGGTTTCTGATGCCCTTATGTAGAAGATACTGGTGTTTTTCCTATGTGGTGGTTAGAAGGATGATGAATTTATGCATCATTTCCCAGCACTTCAAACAATCTCAAATCAGCTTAAATGAGAAAACAATGACTAAGACAAATACTCATCCACAGTGCACAGAATTATGGAGTGCTCTCATCCTTCTTGCACTGTTCATTTGCATTGGTGCATTTCCCTCCACTGTCACAAATCAGTGTGTTCTTGATCATTACACTAATGCATCTCTTGCTTGCTTGCTGCTTCACTGTTCTTACTGGGCCTTTGTCATGGAGGCAGAAAAGAGCACACCAAACCATTTTAAAATTAGAAGTCATGGTTCTGTTTAAACAAATGGTGCTCCTCTGTAGTGTTCCCATCACTAATGCCTGTTTTAATGGATCTTGTTCTGCTACCCATTGCCTAATGGGGTGAGGAGCTGGGTTCCCTCCTTCCCTCTCTTCTCTCTTTCAAACCAGACACATCTGGTGTTGAGTATGAGTTTGTGAGCCCATATAACACCTATTCTGTATAAATTGCAGTGGTTGCTAATTGAAGTCTGGGCCCAATTTAAAGTGTTTCTTTTAACATAGAAAGCCCTAAGTCACTTGGGATGTGGCTATTTGAAGTACCACCTCCTCCAATATACACCTACCTGCCCATTGAGATCGGGGAGTGAGGTCCTCCTGAAAGAGCCATCCCTAA